CTCCTTTAAGGACTCTCTCTGGGATCAAATGACAACAGCAACTAAAAAGGTTAGATGGGAACCTCTGGAGGCAGTGAGCTCACGGGGCAGGAACAACTCAGAAAAGGACAGTGAGGGAGTGTGCACAACTCCAAGAATGCTATCACTGCCACTGAGCTGGGCCTGTCTCTGCTATTAGACCAGTGTATTGGCTGCGTACGGTCTGGACAACACCAAAATTAACTTACTAGGAAACAATAAACATTCATGTGATGTCCAATTCAGGGAAGGTTCACAAACCAGCACTCACTCTCAGCTCTGGCACATGGCACAAAGCCACTGTCCCCTCCCCAGTGTCTAAGCTCTGGAATACAGCTCAAAGCCACTGTCCCCCTCTCCGGTGGTGCCCATGCTTGGAGTGTCTGTGAAATACAGGTGACACTACGGCACATGGAGCCCAGACACCGGGGGGTCTTTTCCTTGTGCAGAAGCTTACCAGGGACATCCCAGGGGATGTGGACTTCCAGTTCTTTTTCCTGGACCTCCAGGACCTGGGGTTGAGGTAAGAGCTAATATAAAACCCAGGGGAACTGTGTGAGCTTGCCCCTCCTGAAGTACTTAGTGGGGACAAGGGACCAAGTCTCAAGCTATAAGCCTCGGGACACCTCTGACCACCTGACTGCCCTCAGGGGCCTCAGATAGGGTGGAGGACCCCAAACAGGGCTGAGGACTCCAGACAGGGTCTCCAGACAGGGCTGGGGACCTCAGACAGGGCTAGAGACCCTAGCAAGGACTCCAGATAGGGCTGAGCCCAGACAGTGCCAGGGACTCTAAATAGGGCTGGGGACCCCAGACAGGGACCCCAGACAGGGCAGAGGACCCGAGACAGGGCTGTGATGTCTTTTAAAATGTGAGCCTCCTGCAGGCCAGCTGCTGTTATCACATGGACGGCTCAGAAATGTGTGGCCTGCAGCCTGCTGCAGACACAGTGTCCTCCCCTCATGTGAGCACTGAGATTGGCCATGCAGCTGGCCTGGAGGCATAACAGCCGTGGAACTAACACACATGCTGGGCTGCCACATAGCATGGTAGCAAGGAACAGAGACTAGGAGGCCCAACACCTCTACTGGCCTCTGCAGACAGCTCAGCTGATGCCCAGTGCTCCACCCCCATCCTGCAGAACAGGCTACAAAGTGGAGAGCTGGCAGGGCTCCACTGGCTGCCTTCTGGGGTATCCTGTCTGCTGGCAAAGTCAAGTGCAGATCAACATTCATCTTTATTAA